ATGAAAAGGAGCCAAATAATAGCACATGTGCTAGTCGAGTCTGGCCCCTGTTCTTAGCACACACTTGGCAAAAATAAATATATCATTATCAAAAAATAAAACTTGACAGTAGAAGTATACATGTTGAGTAATACCGTAGCACAATTTCTACACTCCAAATATAATTATGAAGAGGATATACCAGGTTAAAAAGTCATAGATACATGTATCTACAGATTATTTATACAAAAAATTGCATTTTTTTGACAAAAAAAAACAACAAAAATGTAATATGGAGATTATTTACAATATATACATGTGTACTTGCATAATTCAATCACTTATTCATCAAGTAATCGTTGAGATGTTTACGAAAAGTGTTTCTAGACCCTTTGTTTTTGATTTCATCGGGAAGTTCATTCCATAATCGGGTTCCTACACAAGTTACTGAAAATTTGCCTTGTGTTGTTTTATACAGTGGTATACATAGATGGCCCTTTTCTCTTTTTCTTGTATTGTATCTATGCTCAATTTTATCACAATAATCCGTCAAACAGTGAGGTAAATTATTATGTACTAGGTCATACATAAATGTACATAGAGACAACTCATAGAACTTGTTAATATCTAAGATTTTCAATTCGTAAAACAATGGTGCTGAACGACTCATAAAATGGCTAAATGTGATTGTCCGTATGGCCATCTTCTGTGTATACAGTATGCAATTTAAGTGAGACTTGTAAGTGCTCCCCCACACTTCAATTCCGTATGATATATGAGGTTGAATAAAGGTTTTATACAACAACACTAGGATATTTCTAGGCACAAAATGCCGTAAGCGGAAGAGGATTCCTACTTTTTGTCTGATGCATTTATTAACCATTTGTATGTGGGGTTTCCAAGTCAAGTGTTTATCAATCTTTATCCCAACAAAGAGCGAAGAATCAACTTCTATTATTTCAGCTTCTGATATAGCCAGTTGCCCTTGAACATTAATCTGCCGTCTCTGGTTTCTTATTAGCATATAACTCGTCTTTTGTAAATTAATTGTCAGTTTATTAGCATGATGAAAGGGGTTGGGAATGGGGGTGCGCCCTCTGTTGTTTCAAAATAGAAGATAATGGACTTGCAATGATATCGGCACAGTGGTGAATTCAGACAGAATATTTTTGTTCTCTCTCCCTCTGCCCCTATCTCTCTCTCTATCTCTCCCTCTCTCCCTCCACCCCTCTCTCTCTACAACTTGGATCATCAATTGTGCAGCTGGGTGATCATAAGGGTCACGCAAAGGACATTCATGTGGTTATGGCTAGAAATGGAAGTGGGCCATCTATTGTTTGAAATAGGTACAATGTACACTTTGTTTGATATGCTGCATTTGTACTTTGGTTAAGTTAGATCTTTTCTTTTACGGTTATTTCCAGATTTCCCCCCAGTCCATTAGTTAAACATACACCTGCAAATCATCAAAATGAGACCAAACCAAATATCTAAAACACATTTTCAACCTTTTAGAAACAGTTTAAAAAAAAGGATGGCAAAATGAAGAAGTGTGTAGAAAAGCAAGAGTAAAGACCATCACTCATCAAGGCAATAAAAAAGAGGCAAATGCAATTTGTTGGTCACATAATTATCCAGAAAGTATGATCTAGAAAGAAAAAAATTAAAAGGGAAGATTGCCGGAAAGAGACGCAGGGGGAAGGCAATGCCATACATATTTGCAAAGCCCGAACAAACGGGCAACCAAAAATGAAATCAGCAATACCAGCTTTTTAAGAAAAGCAGATAAATAGACAGAAATGGAGGGTCATGACCGACGATGCCTGTAACAGACCTGGCTCTTGATGATGATGATGATAATTTTGTGGTGGAAAAGTGGTTTCTGTGCATAACCATGGTGTTACAGGTAGAGTTAATGCACACATACCAATACCAATTATGGCATAGGAATTGATAAAGTGTAATATTTTGGCTATAATTCAGCATACTACCGGTATGCATTATTTTTGACCAAATAAAAACAAAAAAACTTTGGGTATTACCTGTTTTTGATTATATTAAGATTGGTCCATCGTTATGAGCTTCTAAGGGAGATGAACAGTTTGTGCTCTCCACTTAAAATAAAATAAAATAAATAAAAATCAATTCAAAAGTATGTTGGTTCGAAAGGGGAATTAAGAGAGACAAATGTATTTAATGTATGGGATGAGAATAGAACAATGTTAGATCAGGAAGGGGGATTTGACGAATGGTTTCAGATATCATACAATGGATCAACGTGGCAGCTGGCGGAAGAGAATGGATTACTCATTGATGCTCAGTCAAAGACAGATGAAAGAGGGAGAAGCAGAGAGAGAGAAAGAGAGTGAGAGAGAGAAAAGAAAAGAGAGTGAGAGAGAGAGAGAGGGAGAGAGAGAGAGAGAGAAATTAATGAGAGGGGTTATTCACACACAGAGCAATTATTGAAAATTAAAACTTGATTTTTTTAATCATGATGCATGTCTTTCTTTTAAATTTAGGTCATGTATGAACCAGAAAATTGGGTTTCAAGCACTTTAACTTTTTCAATGAAGGGAGAGTGGGGGGGGGGGGGGGGGAGTCTGTATGCCTATGTCCCTCATTACATTTCATTTACTGTACATGTAGATTGTAATTCTCGTAAATCATTCTATTATTTTAATGACCTCTCCAAATTATTAAACAGAACCTGCAGGGTGATCTGGCCTATGCTCCAGCCGCTCGTAGCTATATTGAGTTCAAAGTATAGGATTAGGTTAGGGTTAGGGTTGCAATCGGGTATTTAAGTTAGGTTTATGGAAAGGTTTAGGTCAAGTATTGGATCTAAGGCTGAAATAATGCCTTGGTCACACCAATGTATTGAGTCCATGCGTTTCCATTCTGGTTTGAAAACCGGAGAAATGAGCCGACCTTGATCTGGGTATGCGTGATTGTATTGGATCAGAAGTGACATCAATATAACTTTGTTGCGTTTCCCATGCGTTTTAGGTGGAAACAGATCGACCATGCAAAGGCCCAAGAAAAAATTTGAGATGTTCAAAATATCAAATTTCTCGCTGCGTTTCCACTTTATTTCTCCATGACGAACATGCATCGAGATGATATCGAAGTGACATTGAAAGTAAAACGCATACTATGAACCAAGAACGCATTTAGTAGGGTAGAAACGCATTGGAAACGAATCGGTAAATGAATTGACGTCAAAATGAACAAGTTTTGGCATGACCTAGGCATTAGAAATTGGGTTAGTTCAGAACAATGGCCATGGAATAATAACTGTCATGAGAGCATGTGACATAATCTATGGTACAACCTGCTGGAGATGTATTTATCAATGGATTCAATGTAGTCCTCCTGACCGTCCTATTAAATGACATCATCTCTCATTTACTCATAATCTCCTTCACCTCACAATTGTCAAAATGGATGATGACTGTTCTGTCCAGGAACACTGTTATGTCATATTGTCACCTCGTGATTGCTCAATAATAGCCGTGTTCACACGATGGCAATTTGGTCAGTGTAAACATGGCCTTAGTAGGTCCATGGTGGTAAAGGTTATGTTTAGAGCTAGTGGACATAAATATGGTAAGGTCGGCGTAAAGGTCGGGTAGGTACCATCTGAACGATGGCCGTGTTGGCCGTGTTAGCTACGCCGACCTTTACACCAACCGATTTACTCCTGAATTTTTTTTACAGGAGTAACGTGCTAACACGACTAGAGGGTAGCGTAAGTTACCTGTGGATGCTCTCACTTGGCACGCGGAGTATTTGTGACCTTTCACGAGGGTTGTTTGTTTACAATCGAAAATTTAAATTAGATTTTGCGCGGTTTAGATGCGAAAGCTGGGTTGAGGTCATCTAGTGCAGGCGCAACCACTTCTGGAAGTTTCGCTAAGTAAGACTAGGTCGGTGGAAGATCGTGTTAACTCGTCGCAAGTAGGTCTGAGTAAGAGCGTATGGACAAATAATAGTATAAGTCACATATTTATGGAATTGCTGCAGGGATAAATTTATGCTGACTAGGAAGCCCCATCTGAAAATGGCTATTGCAATAGATCTGAATTCTTATTCTCAATCGTTTACTAACATATTCAAATTTATGGATGTTTCTTTCCAAAACTTTTTCCATTATATTAATGAATGAACTACAATACTTGGAATCCAGTCTGCACACATTACTTGTTGCCGGGAAAGAGCTTGTTAACCATATACTTTTTTTTCCAAACATGTAATTTGTAAAAGAGGTGATGACTCAATTAGCCATGTGTATAATTAAGAGGAGGATGAAGCTGGGGAGGGAGGGGGAGGGGAGGGGGCAGCCTCTCATTAATATTTGAACATAGTAATGCCTTAATGGAGGGGCGCTAGTTAATTAAGGCATTATGTCACATCATACTGATCGTGTCTCCTGTGTATATAAGGACAATGCGTGTTGATAGAGGATCTATATTGTCTCTATGTGACTCAACTCAGGAGGACTATGGCCAAATCCCTCACTAAGCCACGTTTGTTACTACCTCCAACTGCCCCTCCCCCAAACTCTCAATTTTGTTGTTCTCTTTCTCTCTCTCTGTGATGCTCTCACTCCCTTTAACTCTCTCTCTCCTTTCTCTCTCTTTCTCTCACTCTAACTTTCGGCCTATAAGTCTGTCTCACCCTCTCTAATTTTCTGAAAATATATCTCAATATATCCCCCCCCCTGTCCTCTCTCTCTCTCTCTCTCTCTCTCTCTCTCTCCCTCTATCCCTCTCTTCCTCTTTATTGTCTCTCTCTCTTAATTTCTCTCACACCATCTTCAACCTTACCCTCCCCTCTCTCATTTCTGTCTATCAAACTTTCTTGTTCTCTCTCTCTCTCACTCTGTCTCTCTCTTTCTGTCTCTCTCTCTCTACCCCTCCCCTCTCTGTATCTCTCTCCCCTCCCTCCCTCTACCCCCCCCCCCTCTACCCCCCCTCCCCCTTCCCCCAGCACTCTCGCTCACCTTCTCGGGACTAATACACACGTATCACACCCAATCCTGCGAACCTGCCTACCCTACACTGTTAGTCTGGCACTGTATCTAACCATGAACCTAATAGATCTAACATGATCCTCAACTAGCCAAGTTCTGCCTACTGCGGCCCGCCGTCCAACCCATAGGGAATGACTAATTAGTGTGTGATTCATTTAACTACATGATACATGTCTAATTTACACAATGCTCTTGTTTACCTGGAAAAAAGTGGTTGGATATTGTGATAGTAATTGAAAATGGTTTGACTCTAAGAATAGAAGCGGATGCAGACTCGTGGCGTTGGAAGACATGTTTTGTGACGTTGATATCATCTTAGAGATCAAGTTGGACATCATACTTTTTACTCAAATCAAAGACATTGCTTTATAGAGTTCTAGACTTTTGTTTATATTTTGATATATCTCCCCTCCCTCGATCCCTCGTTCTCTCCCTCTATCTCTCATACTCCATACTACTGTAATTTTGATTTTGTGCCAAGATGTACTGAAAGCAAACAATCTATGAGTCGGAATCTACACCATCGATGCTGTCATTGGAATATGCAACTTGTTGATCAATGACGAATATGATCGATGCAACGTGTCAAAATAAAAGGATCACACTTCTGTGTCGAGTGTCTTTGATAATGATCGAAAGTTTTGAGTCCACGACAATTTATTCATCACTATCGTCGCTCTATTAGATCTCTGTGCATCATTAAAGAAAGTGGCATGGTTTTTTAATTCATTGTGGTTCATCAAGACTTCTGGTTTGAGCTGGGACTTGAAGCCTGCGCGAAAGTGAGACTTGCTTTAAGTGGAATGGATCCTTCCCCCTCTGACCAAAATATCTCGTTATGAATCAATCATGTTTAAGCTTTTTACGCGATTCTGCTTGTCATAACTAATACCTGTTGATACTTCTCTTTGCCACGGATATGCTTGAAATGTCGCACCGTGAATACAAATGCTAATAAGTGAAAGATTGCTGTGAATTAAAACCCCCAAAAATGACTGACGTGAGGAAAAAGCGGTACCTACCGGCCGTGAAACGCCCTAATCGTAACTCCATGCCTTCATTTCTTCAACGTCATTTTCGTTCACAGGATGGATCTATCAATCAGCTGTCAAGAAGCGGATCATCGTTCGCAAGTTCAGAGGGCTCATCGACAAGGTAAGACACACAGTTTTAAATATTAACGGTACTTTACTCAGTACTCCTCTCCCTCATATCCTTTTCCTCCCCAAAAGAAAGCAATTTGTATAATTTGCCACAAGCCAATTTTAATTCCAAGCAAACCTCTATTCCTAAAATTGAATATTTTCCCAATTTCATTATTATATGACTTTCAAATGTGTATTGTTATGTATTCATATTATCATAACCTGTTACCCACAATCTTTTGTAATATCTTTCAGAGCAACAAAGATATTCATAGATATAGTACCAGGATTTCAACAGACACTTGTGTACTATATATGTTTATTCTACCTTTTCAAATAATTTTGTGTGTGAAAAGGACTCACTATCTGGAATAAACAACCCCCAAAACTTAAACAGGGTGCATCGTTAAACAGTTTTAGGCATAATCTAAAACTTCACCTGATGCAGAAGCTTTGAATCTGACAACTGCCCTTTTGTATGAGTGTAATTACCATTGTGTAATTTATTTTTTATTGTATTGTGTTAGTTTCTGTATTTTGTGTAGGATCATGTACCCATATTACAGCCTTTTCACACACAGCTAAAATTCATCGTTTCTAGAGATGATTAGTATAAACGTGTTTAACTCAACAGTTTTAAACATGTTTATAGAAAATTTTCCCTGTGTGAACATCGTTTATATGATCTGGGATAGATACGAAGTCGCGATTCATACGCCCCTGAAAGCAGGCTGCAGATACGAAGTTCATATCTAGAGAGCTTGACATTTTGTGTGTGAAAGGTTATTCGTGTTTAAACTTGTTTCAGACGTGTTTAAACTGGATGGAGCGTGCGCTTTGATTGATATGACATGACCTTCAATGCGCAATGGCACTACTGCGCATTTTACGAGCAGTAGTCAATCACGAAACGATTAACGATCGCACCAAAATTTGTGTGAATGATGTCGTATGTTCAGGTGATTAGGTTAAACACGTTTATACTAATCATGTTTATAGAATTTTAGCTGTGTGTGAAAAGGCTGTAAGTTTTTGTAACTTTTTGATGATCCAACCACTCTGTAGCTCCCTTTAGTATACTTTACATTTTATTGGCTTATCCATATCGGTAAGAAATCTTTTATGGTATTCTTTGACTTTGCATGTTTTTTGTTGAATGAGAGTGGTGAATAAATTCAATTCATTGCCATTTTAAAAGTTTAACTGTTAATTTTACCTTGCTTGGCCGCATTGGTCAGTATTCTACTAATTTGATAAAATCTGACCTGGGTTTTAAATCAGGTTTAATAAGTGAAGAGGTAACCTTGACTAAGTTCCTTTAATAAACCTTACTTTGGAAGAAGAAAAAAAGTCTAATCCTAGTGGTAGGTTATATTTAAGTTTTTAGAATATTGGCAAAAGTCTTTAAAAATGCATGGTGAAACCTATTTCACACAGTAGGCTTCTTCTAATGTTCCATCACTTTCTGTTGTATCAAATATCTTCCATCAGTTCTGTATTAACCTGATTCTGGATTTCTCTCCCATTATTCTTCCTACTCTTTCTATTCATATCCCCCTCCTTCATATGTCCTTCCTCTACTATGAGTCATCTTTCTTTGGTTTGTCAAATCTCATCCTGAAAACTATATCTTCCTCTCCGTTGCTGGTCATTTACAATTTTCATATTTCTAAAATAACTCTTTTCTCATTACTTATTTTCAAAGATAGCTTTTCCTTCACCATGACTATATCCATTATTCTATCACTCTCCCTGTTCCTGCTCTAATATTGCATCTGAACATAGTTTTGTTTTATTATTTATTATAGTTTTATTCTGCAGAAGAATCAATTTTGTTGATATTAAATCAAAATTCAATTATATTCAAAACAATTCTTTCCTCCTCCTTCCTTGTATCTCCCTCTAATCCCTTTCTCACACACAATGCATCTATCTATGATTAACACTCTGAATCAACGAATTCTATTATATCTGTCCCTCGCTATCCTAGCGCTTATTGTTTGAGCAATCTGATAACTCTCCCATTGTTGTCTTGTTCACAGTAGGCCTGTCCTCATCAGCTAGAGTTTGCCAAATAACCCGCTATTTTAACTATCCCGATCGCAAATTAGACAGTTAATTTGCGTCCTCATCAGCCCACAGTTGCAATTAGCGGGATATTTGGTCATGAAAATGTCCCGAGAAATATTGGTCTTGTTTCCAAAATATCCTGCTGTTCGGGAAATGGCGGGCCAATTTGCTAGTTTGTGATGAACGTATCGGTCTGATGAAGTCGCAATTTCGAGCTGTGGTATAATATCCTGAGTCTGAAAATAGCAGGTTATTTGGCACAAACTCAAGCTGATGAAGACAGGCCTAGTGTCACCTCACTCATTCATTTCCTGCCATTACCCTTCGCTAGTTCAGTTTTTCTGTCATTTCAACATTTACCTCAGGGTCAATTCTTAAAGGTATAGACCAGTTTTGAAAACGCCCCCTCTTATTAATGTATAATTACTATATTGATCCGGCCTGGATAGATATCGTGAATATGCACCTCAACATTAAAAATATGGGCATATATTTCTGCTTTTTTGCGAATTTAGGTTGAAGTATTGCCATCTAAACCTCTGAAGGCAATATTTAAACAACATTGGATGGATATTTTGAACCCCAAACCCTTGCACCGCAATTTTACCACTACTCGGTCTATATCTTTAAAATAGAAATAAGATTCATATAACAACCTGTATTTTAGCCCAAAGTACAACGCTTCATTATATATATTTCATTTTTTGGGGGGAGGGGTACTTTTTGCGAAAAAAATTCACATCATTGACTCATCAAAGATGTTAACATTTTGTCTGTAACAATCATATGTACTTTTTTTCTTCAGTTTACTATTCAGATACCAGAAACAACCATACGTATATATTTTTACATTTAATTTGTTAATATTTCTTTCTTTTCATATTTTACTTCACTTTATTCAGCTCCATCAAGGAGCTATTATCAATTTTTTATAATTTTGTACTCATTTTTAAAATTTATTTTTAATTGTAGCGTAGAATTACACACTCTCTCTGTATTGTCATTTATACAATAATGTTTGCTAAGGTGCTTCTGACTGAAAAGATGATATCAAACTTGTGAAATTAAGAATTTGAGAAGCTATCTGCCTGTTCATAATAAATAGGAATCATATCAATCGTAGAGATTCTAAGTTATTTAGAGAATAGGGGAAATACAGACAGTTAGCGAGAGTAGATTTTACAGAAGTAGATTTCGTCATTTGTAAAAGAAACAAGTTTCTGGGGTTGAATCAGAGACATTACTGAGATACATCTATGATTAAGATTGACATTTAGCTTGTGACTGTCTCCTAATTACTGCATTTATATCATTTATATCATGTATATCATTTTATCCCATGTGCTTTATAGGATGTTAATGTCATAAAAGTGTCATAACAGTCTGCTAATTGCTGCGTACATGTAGATTTATATCAATACCTACCCTGTCTTTTTATTATAGGATGTTTATGTCATAAAAGTGTCAAAGTTAGTATGGTAATGCAATCACTCATATCCTTTCATTCTTCTCTGTTGAGAACCATGCAGAAGGGTATTAAAGGTACTATGTCCCATTTGCAGGCCAATAAAATGAAAAGGTTAAATTCCAACGCCATTTGAAAGATAATACTAATTTAGAACTTCCCTGATAAAAGGGGGGCTTGAAAATGTCTTTTAGTGGGAAAATAATGACTAATAATTAGTTGTCAATCAACTTAAGAGCTATAGAGCCAGTAAGTAATAGTCTGATTTTCAGACCATTGTACCGATTGGTCGTACGTTTTATGCTGCACAAAGATGCAATCAGATTAATTTTGGCCATTACAAGAAGTGGGTTATTGATGTAGACAAATGTTCATGTACCCTTTTACAGCTCATTTTATGTATGTTATTACCAAAGAAGAAAAAAAGCCAGTCAGTCACTCAATAGTGTCTGCCAGTGAAGTCTAGCAAGTAAACAGGTTTCCTTGCACGATTTGAATATTAGGACACTGCTAATGTTTAAATTTCACAGATAGGACATACATGACATATTCATGATTCCTGCAAAGTTCTACAGAATTTTATGTTGTCTGCAAAAGGGACATAGTATCTTTAAGTCCACTACCTTCCCATTAACTTAACGCCCTCTTAGCTCTCAGTAGGTAATGCATGACATTTTCTCACTCTTTAGATGGAAAGGAAGGGGGGAAGGATGGTGTGCTGGAAAAAATTAGATATGTTCCTGATATTTCTGACCTTGCTTTCATCGAAAATGGACACATCCTCATCTAATAATTGAGTTAACCATTGAATTAATCACAGGACAATGGTTATCCTGGCCAATTTTCATCTTTCGTGATAGTTTATGCACTTTCAACTTTGAATATTATGCAGATTTTGTTTTCACTTTGTAGATACAACAGACCTCTAAAGATGCTAATATGCCTAGACAGAATTTTATTTTATTTTGCATTGGAAGAGCAGTGCTTAGCAATAAAGAAGTAATTGTACAAAATTAATGAAGACTTACGGATATATATATATATATAGCAAGCTATGATTTGTTGGAAAGGTTTATTGTGTTTTTCATATACATGTAATTGATTCAAAATACAATATTTGAATATTAATTATATTCGAACGCTGGATTATTATTTTCCACTAAATGAGCATATATGGCACAAAATCAGGTAGAATTTTAATTTGATTATAGGATTACCATTGTTTATGCTTTAATTACTCTTATAGCAATCTTGATTGTGCTTTCACTTGTTAAGTGAAACTGAAATCAGGATATCAAAGGAAATTCCATCACTTTTCATCCATCTTCTTGCACTGCTTTCCACTCTCCCCTCCCTCCTAAAAAAAGAGGGGGGGGGGGGGATTAAAGAAAATATCATGATATGACTGCGAGTGGCAGTCACAAGGAGAAAATGATTGCCATATGACCATATTTGCAGACAAAGGTTATTCAATA